GAAACAACTTGTATTTTATGATAACTCCTACAAAAAGCACTTTCTTCTCTAAAATGAGGTATGTGGAGCATCGTGTGAAGGTATACTTTGGCATCGGTTTGACAAATAAGAAAATCTTTTAGCACCAGCATTAAATTGGGGAGAATGTGAAAGTGGCCTCAGGTTGCTGTTTGGTGAAGCTGGTTGGAGCTCCAAGCTTTCTTTATGAAACGGGTTGTGGTATGATGACTTCATTCTCGTAATATTACAACTTCATTCCTGTAATATTACATCTTCATTCTCATAACGTTACAACTTCATTCTCGTAATATTATGAGAATAAAGTCGTAATATTACGACTTAATTGTCATAATAGAAGAAGAAAAAATCTCTAGCCTGGCCCTAATACTCCGTCATAAAAACAAACATTTCAACCTGTGACCGAAAAAATAACAGAACATATTGAAGACGCACTATAAATACAATAATTACTACTTTACTCCATATATATTTATATATATCGAGTGAAGTAATTATAGTCATTTTTAAATAAATCATTTTATTCACAAAAACATTAAATTATCCAATTCATACTTTTTTTAAATGTATTTTTTGATTATTTACTGTGATTTTTGATTGTAAATATTACTTTTAATTTAATTGTATATTTATTATTAGAATCAATTGTTAGATAAATAAACAAATACTTTTTATGGTATATTTATCAGTTTCAAGGGATATTAAAAAAAAAATTTTCATGGTACATTTTTGCCCTCCATAGACCTGAGGGATTACATTACTCCTGAGCTCCACTTTGGGAAGCCCTGCTTTAGGAGACGACAGTTTTATTTTATGTTCTACCCTCCCAGAGGAATGTGATATGCCTAGCTAGCAAGTGAAGTTAGAGTCCTGTAAAGTATTCACACCCTTGAACTATATTGCTGTTTTTCTTACAACTAGAGCTGAACCAATTATTTGGGTTTATCGGTTATTGAAATAATCGTCAACTAATTTAGTAATCGGCTAATCGTTAACTGGAGTATAGAGACTGCCAAACATGCCTTTAGCTGATAGAGTGGTGATAGAGCAGTAATTATATCAAGATTGTAAAAAATATTTAAACATTTTGCATTCAAGATTGAAAAAAATATATATTTTTCATCTGTCTATACACTCTATCCACAACTACTCAATTGGAAAATTTTTTGTTTCCCCTGGTTTAATTTCATAAAAAAATAGTTCTTTAAGGAACCTTTTCCTAATTATTAATCGAAAAAATAATCCATAAATTAATCGATTTGCAAAATAAAGCCCTAATTACAACCACACATTGTTTTATTAGAGTTTTACATGCTGTTGTACAAAAAATAATGCACATTTGTGGAGGAAAATTGAAGCTATTTAATATACATCTGAATTAATTGTGAAGCTCTTTAGTTTTCAGTTCCTCTAAGGGAGTAATTAGAAGAAAAACACCTTTTACATTAAAGCTGCTGATCTGTTAGAATATATATTTTCCACCTCAGCTTCTGTTGTTCTTTTAAGGTATTAAATCATTACCTCTCTAAACGCCTTTATTTATACTAAGATGTTATTTTGGGGATATCAGAGTGAAGGGTGCTCAATACATGAAGCATACCTCTCTGATTTTCATGCATTAAAAAGGTTCATTACCACCATTACTGCAACATTACTTTTTCTGACCAGTATAATATATTGCAGTAGTCTGCTGTAATATAAGAACGTTTGATGGGGTGTTAATACTTCTGCATGCTACAGTACATACATACAGACACTGGTAACTAAAGCTGGTTTTGTCATGAAAGTGTGATAAACAATATTGACTTTTTTTTGTTTCCATAAATTTAATGAAAATGTTTTACAACTTTTAAAGAGTAATTATAAATTAGATTAATCTAGGATGGCCATGAGCAGCATCACTCACCACTGAACCTTTAAATGTTTTGTGCTTCCATAGTTCTTCATTCCAGGGTGTCAACCTGATTTGGAAGAAGAAGAGGCATCTCAATCCCAGCGTGTTCGGCATCCAGCAGGTTGACGGCGTCCGTGGCGGTGGCAGGTGGCTGGGTGGGGTCGGAGTTCAGAGGCGAGGTGGGGTCGCTGGCAATGTTGGGCTCCCCTGAGTTACGCAGAGAGATGGAGAGAGCTGGTGAGGGTCTTCTAGGGGAGCGCGAGGAACAGCAGGGCAGAAGCTTTGCCAGAGCTCGCTTGAAGTCCCTCATGAACAGCGGATAGATGATGGGGTTTATGGTGCTATTACAGTAACCCAGCCAGGTGATGGCATCAAAAAGCTCCAGTGGGACACACTCGCACACTGCCTGGATAAAGACAGAGGAAATTTTGCCATCAAGGAATAACTATGAATTTGTTTTTTTGTTGTTTGCAAAATGTGGGGGACATTTATAACATGAATACAGAAAAATGGTCGATACAGAAAAGAAAAAAAGAAAAAACTAAAGAGTGTCCAGATTGAAAAGAAAATGACCTTCATTTTGTGAAACATACAGCATAAGGCAAGTTTATTAATATAGCACAATTAAATGTTCTTTACAATGATTAAACAATAGAATAAAAGGGACATCAAAGCAAGTAACGATTAGAAAAAAAATTTATACAAGCAGGTACTAAAGCAAATAAATCAGTTGCACCACTTAAAACTAATAATAACTCAGTTAACAGTTTAACTTCAACAGTCAAAGGTAGCTCTAAACAAAATGTTTTTTTTTACTCAGACTCTCAGCACTTTTACAGTCTTCTTTGAGTTTGTTTCAGATCAGGGGAGCATAGGAACTAGATGCTGCTTTTCCATGCTTGGTTCTAGTTCTGAGTCTACAGAGTACGCTTGCTGGGACTAGAAGAGGACCTGAGTGGTCTGGGAGGTTGATGCACTGACAACAAATCTGTTATGAGTTGAGGTTCTGATCCATTCAGTGATTTATAGACTAAATGGAGGATTTTGAAGTCTGTTTTCTGAACTACAGGGAGCCAGTGGAAAGACTTCAGAACTGGGCTGATGTGCTCTACTTTCTTCGTGCTAGTGAGAACACAGGCAGCAGCATTTTGGATCAGCAGCAGCTCTGATGGACTTTTAAGGAAATTGAGAAACTGTTGCAGTGATCAATTCTACTAAAGATAAAAGCATGGATGAAATCACCCAGCTGTGATCCTTCTTTGTTTTTCTTAATATGTTTAAAGAAAACATTTCTGCAGCATAAATAAGAGATTTTTAGTTTTGGGTTAGAAATATTTAGAGTAAGAAATACTTAACATTCAATTTTGTTAAATAAAATTCAAAACGTTTGTCAGGAAAAAGAAATGTAAGTATATTTTCAATTGTGTAAACATGTTATTAGTCCTTTTGCCCTAAACTGCATTTAAAGGTTACCCACAGTTCATTGCAGCTGGCTAGCTTGAGTTTTACAGTAATGTTAATTACTCCATTTTGCAAAGATAATCACTTATATAATGAAATAGTTTTTTTTTTTATTTAAAATAATTTTTTACATTCAGTCACATTTTAACAAGCATTTTCTATTTTGTCCAGGGAAAAAAAATCATTGTACATCTAATATACACTGATTTTAGCTTTTTTCCCATGGGCTCCAATCTAACATGATCCCTGGAGCTAAGGCTACAACATTTGGATGTTATTTCCATTAGGTGGAGAAAAAAAATGAATAAAATAATTAAAGTACCACCTTGCGTTACATGCATAGAAACTTTAAAGGCAAAAAAATATATATATTTTGAGCTGTTGGATTTCATAAAAGAAAGCCAAAGGACTAGTATATCCAAAACTGTTGAATTTCCAAACATAAAACGAAACAAATGTTTTTTGTTTGTTTTTTCGTCTATTTAAAATCCATAAATTAGTTTCCATGATATGTCTTTAAGTTAAGCAAAAAATACAGAGCTTCTAGGAATTATTGACATAAAGATCAAGATAATATCAACATAGAAATGGAGGAAAAATGCAATCTTAGTTGTCCAAATGATAACAAATATGGTAGGAAAAGATTGGGCTTAAGATAGAGCCCTGCAGAACTCCCCATCAAAGAGGGGATTGTGACAGGAGTAGAATAATAAGGGGTCAAGCACAGATAGGGTCCTAGTTCCATATGTGGAGACTATTAGTCTTCGACAAGCCTTCAACGGTTTGGTTTCAAACCTCCCAATCTTTCACCAAAAAAATTAAAAATCCTGAAAAACCTTCCTCACAGCATATTGTCTATCATTGATCAATAAATCAAAACCATAATGTTTAATTATCAAACCATTTAGTATTAACATCAAGGACATAAATCATCACAATACAGTATTGTATTGATTTGTTTGGATGAAGATACGTTTTCCGATATCACAAAGTCTCTCCTGATACGATTTTGATTAAATTCAATTTAAAAAGTCTGCAGTTGATATAATGGGATATTACAGTTTATGCCCTTTTAACACAATCATTTGCTTCCTGTCCTTATGGTAAAAAGACGCTAGCATATCCTAAAAATGTGAATTCATGCTTTGATTTTGCATCAATGTATTTGGATTGTTAATCGATTTGGTTGGATGTATCGTTACATCTTCAACTAACCTTTCACCTTTTTACTGTCTACAGCAGGGGTCTCAACGTTTTTCAGGCTAAGGAGCCCCAAACTGATGGCGAGGTGAAGCTAGGACCCCCTAATTATGTATATTGTATAAAATTGTGTTATATCAAACTGGTCCTATAGTCACTCTGTTACAGATGGATTAATGTAACGAAAGTAATCTCTCCCTGGGATTATTAAAGTATTTCTCATTCAGATTCCTGGTTGATGGGACAGGTGTTGTGAATGAAATGGTGCCCAGCTTGAAAGAGCTCCTGTGTGTCGCTGAATGTGTTCATTGATGACTGAAAGACATCTTCTGCCTCCATTTATCTGTTTACTTCAGTGTGTGGAATTAATGGTAATGTGGATTTAAAGACATTTCAGTTAGTGGAAGAAATTGCAGGGGGGAATATATAAAAAAAAAACCCTAAAACAACCAAAACTTTTGCGACCCCATGCAGTACCTCTGTGGACCCCCTAGGCGTCGCGGACCCCCTGCTGAAGACCTCCGTTCTACAGTATCATGTGCATAAGGTTTAAATTAAATCTCCTTTTAGAATATTTCTTTCTTTGGACAATCTCAGATGTTTTCTGAAGCCTTTTTATCCTTTGCGTTATTTTCTATAAATTTGAGCTGTGAGAGGCTGCAGAATATTTTCTCCTACAGCACTTCCCTCATCTACACTGAGGAGTTTATCATCTTCAAACCATTTGAAGATATGATGCTGACAGTTTGTCAACCAGATTTTTCAAAATCGGTTTCTCACACAAATAAGCTCTCTGCTCATTAGCTGCATATCATTTGACAGCTGATTGCTGCAAACGCTGATTTTGAACAATTAGGGTTTAGACAGTGAAGGAGGAGACAGCTGTTAGAGGAGAGCTTCCAATATTATCAAGATGAGACAAGGAGGCAGTGGGAATGAGACAGAACGGGGGGGAAAGTTTCACACACCACATTGAGTGTGAAAAGCAAGAAGAGCACAGACAGTCAAGTCTCTGTGCTCTATGTTATACAGAAGGAAAGGCAAGAGGGCACAGATGGGCAATCATAATGACTGGATCATTGAAAGCTTGAAAAACAGAGCAAGTGGCATTACTGATTTAGATTGAGCTACTCGTTGACGTTTACTTGGCCTCAAAGAGCTTTTAAACGCACTTTCTGGTTTGATGTAATTATATATTTAATTTGAACTAATTAAAATGAACTGTTTCAATTGTATGAAAATTATTAACAGCACTTTAGTGGGGTGTATGTTGGGCTTTGAAATGAGTCAGACACACAGAGCTGAAATGCCAATCTATTTCCTTGTTGGCTTGGCAGGGCTGTGACGCCAAGGCTGGCAAACACAGAAATAGAGCAGTATCCAACTGTTTTTTTGTTTCTCTTTTCTATTTGTACACTTATTTTTTGCTATTCCTTTCGTACTTGCAACACAAATTTAATTTGGTAAGAAAAAAAAATTACTGAATCAAACAAACAAGAATCATTCCAAAGGACAAGATTTAGAAGCTGAGAAAAAAGTCTTTCAAAAATTTGTTGTGAAGACCTGGAGTGTTGCGTGTGTGTGGGAGAGGATATAAGTTTTAAAGCAGGGGTCTTCAACGTTTTCCAGACTAAGGACCCCCAAACTGATGGTGAGATGGAGCTGGGACCCCCTAATTTTATATATTATATGAAATTGTTTTATATCAAACTGGTCCTATAGTCCCTCTATTACATATGTTGTCATGTACCGAAAGTATTTTTGCCCTGGGAGTACTGGGACGTATTTTTAAAAAAAAGGTCTGATTAACCAAAACTTTTGCGACCCCATTAAAGCAGATGGTCTTTTTAAAGAAGATATTTAACTGTTAAAACAACTTTTTCAATATTATTACTGATAAAGGAAGATTCGATATAGATCTATACTTCTATAGTTTTATATTTTACTTCTGTTAGCAGCAGGAACATGTATAAAAAATAGATATCTTCCTGGGAAAAACTAAATTTGAAAAATATTGGCTAAACTGAGATGTAAATTCACCTAGATAATACAGTGTAAATCACAAACCTAACTACAGCGTGCAGAGAATCAGTCTTCACAGCTTTATTTGAGTGTGTGGGGAAATGCAAGAAGGCTTAATACCACAGACATCACCATTTACAGCTGAGAAATTATCATTTTCTTCTCTCATCTGCCAAAAATGTGCACACAGCTGTGATCCTTCTTTTTTATTCTGAATATGTTTGAAGGAAATATTTCTGCAGATTATATAACTGATTTTTAGGACTCTAGGATAAGAAATATCTACAGTGAGGAATATTTAACATTAATTTTTTTTAAATATCATTCAAAACTTCTGGCAGGAGATAAAAATGTAAATAAATTTTTTGCTGTGTTAATATAGGTTATCAGCCCCATTGCATTAAACTGTATAGATTTCCCATAGTTCACTGCAGCTGGCTATCTTGAGTTTCACAGTAATGAAAATTACTCTGTTTTACAAAGATCACTTATATAATGAAATACCTTTTATATTTAAAGTAATGGGAAAATGCATTTCAAGTGGAATATTCTATTTTGATGAAAAATAAAAACGTTTAATTTTAGATGTAATATACACTGATTTTAGCATCCTTGCCCTGGGTTCTAGTCTAACATGATCCCAGGAGCTGTTCTTTTTACATCTCGTTGCAGGTGATGAAGCAGACTGAAAATTTTTTATGATACGTTCACACCGGACGCAGCAAGAGCAGCAAAATCGTGTCTGCTGCTTAATTTTTGCTGCTTGTACCAGGTAGTTCTGACGCGCGGCTGAAGCAGCTTTGCTGCTCTGGCTACGCGGTGCTAAAGTGTGTCTGACGCACGTTGGGCTGAGCTTCTCTTTCCTTTCTTTGCCTTGCAGCTGTATTTGCTGTGATCAGTGGGAATAAAGTAGTTTTAATATGTTTTTTAAGTGAGGAAGTCCACCTGAAAACTTAATCATTGCAGTCAGTTCATCCAGATTAAAATCCTGCCTTCCAATAATATCGGAGCCGCTCAGACCCCCACATACCAGTGGTGCGCTGTCAGTAGGAATCCCATTCAACAGCAGCCTCTGGCCGGGTCGCCTCCTTGCGGTTCACCGTGGCAGCTGGTAGGTGTTTTTCATTTAAATAATCTAAACTGCAGGCACCAGGATAATAAAAGCAAACATATTCTGTCAGCAGGTCTCTACATTTTAAGTTAATTTAGGCAATAATAAACTGTTTCAGAGGAGTGATCATAGCGCTCTGTATCATCAGAGATGTGTCTGTCTCCCTGGCAGCTCCCAGATCAGCGTCTCTGATTGGTTGATGCGGCGCGTCGAGCAGCAAAAGTTCAATTTTTCCATCTCGAGCAGCAGCACGTTTGCGTCCATATAATCTGTAAAACTCCCTGCATAATTATAATAAAGCAATTTATATGCATGAAACAAGCGGAACACTATGGCAATAGCCCTACTGCTCCACTTGTGAAAGTAAACTCTGTTGGGCTCTTTTTGGCATCAAGACAATTATTCTTATTGCCACATCGCCAGACTGGACACTGCTAAAAAAAAAAAAGGGAGGGGGGTGGGACCCAACATTTGAAAGTGAAAAAAAAAATAAACATTTAAATGAAAGTACTACTTTGCACTACATGCATTGCATCTTAGGAGTGAAAAAAATATTTTGACCTGTTGGAAAAGAAAGCTAAAGGCATTGCTGTATCCAAAACTGTTGATTTTTTTTTGTTTTGCTTCTATTTAAAATCAGGAAAAAATGCAGTGGTTAATATGAAAAAAGTCTAATCAACCAAAACCTTTCATGACCCCAATGCAGTACCTCCTTGGACCCCCTAGGGGGTCACGAACCCCCTGTTGAAGACCTCCACTCTAAAGGGTTCAGCGGCTATACTGAACCGGCCGTCAGGTGTTCGTACTGACCTGAGCCATGTTGGTGATGAAAAAGGGCAACCAAGCACTGAAGAATAGTCCCAGGAGGACTCCCAGTGTGAGACTGGCCTTCAGCGCCCTCCGACCCTGCTTGTGAGCAAGACGGCGCTCACTGGTCACAGACAGCTATGGACAGTAGAAAAATGTTGTTAAAATACAGTCCAGGAAGGATTTAACACTTCTGACTTATTTGGTAACAGCTTTTGACTTAATGGATGAGAAAATCACATCAATGTAACTTTTGCCTTTAGTTTAAATAATTTAAAACTAGCTAGGTTTTAGACATTAAAGCTAAAAGAATTGATGTGCTTGCTTTTAATTTTGGAACATCTAATTGCCTAAACTGCCTAATGAGAGGACGATGGCCGACGTGCCTAGAGGGCGGCCATCTTGGATCGGACCACAGTTCAGACAGCTGCTGTCAGAATGACATGAAAGACGATTCAGAGATAATATTACAATAATCTCTTACACGTCACAACCCCTTAAAAGAACAAAACAAATTCTGAAATCACCTTTACATTAGATAACACATTAATGTCTATGATTGGAGTTATATCAAAAGACTAGCTTGCTATTGATGAATCTGCTATGCTAGTTAGCCAAGAAAATAGCTCTTATTACCAAAATTGGAACACTATTCAGTATCAATACATCACCAGCACCGACATTTGTTTCTTTAATAACTATTTACTAGAACTGCTAAGACTTTTAATTCATGGTCATTTTGAAGGAAAAAGACAATTTAGCTACATTAGCTTATATTAGCGGTAACAAACCAGCTAGAATCAACTGAAATTAGTCAGAAGCTTTCATTTATAAACTTTCCAATGAGCCATTCGTTTTTAGTTTAATGAAGCTGTGGAGAAATGTCTTGATATATCTTAGGTTTTAAGGTTCATATTAAACCTACTTTTATATGAACATCTGAGGATCAGAAGAAGAATCATTTTAAGCTAAAATTCAATGAATATCCCTCAATGAATATCCATTAGAAAATAATTAAATATCTATCATTTATCAGGAGTAGATCACCCAGGAATCCTTAGAAAATGGTTACGTTTTAATATTTAATTGAGGGGGCTGAAGATCAACCTTCAGAACCAGCTTCAATGGTTCAGGCATCGTCACCTGGACCACTACCAGGATGAGCCTTACTGGGTCAGATGTCTGATTAATTGTGTTTCCAACTTGCTTCTCTGATCTGATGATTGGAGGTTTAAGTCTCTAAAACAGTGTTTCTGTCTGCCACAGGTCTGACTGAGACAAACAGGCATACTGGTCTCTTTTGGGACTGTCTTTTGGCTCTCCGCTTTGAATACAAATTGGTAAAGATTTAAGAAAACTACTTAGCAATGCTGAAAATATTGAATCTTGCAAAGGTTTAACCAAAGCAGGTATAACAGTCTCAAAATAAATATATATATTTGCACGCAAATCTGACAGATTAATCAGATCCCTATCTGATCTGCTCAGATAAGGCTTCGGCATTGTTTCTGACGATTACTCAGTGTCCAGACGTTGCAGCTTACAGGCTTCCAAAATATCTTTGGAAGCAGACGTCACTAAGGCCTTATCAACCAATTAGAAGCCTTCTTCGGGTACTTTAAAATACATTAGTACCAGTAGTAAAAATAGTGCATGAATATGCATACTTGGCAGTGAGTGTAGATGGTTGAACGAGGCTAGTTAGAAGCTCTGATGGGTCAGTAGCATTAGAAACAGCACAATATAAGTTCAGTCTAATCACCATTTATAGTTAAACATATAGTGATTTAAGTTATTCAAATTAAGGTTCACATCCAAGTGAAATGCATATTATAAGTTAGAACTATGGTGATCAATTATTTTGAAGGCTTTTGGATTTCTTGATTAGAAAAAATAGATGATCAGTATAACAGAAACTGTCTATGTTTTAACAAGACATTTAAACAACAGTCTTTTGACAATGAAAAATCATTCAGTTTTCTTTTAATTTTCACATGAATAAAACCTTATCATAGCCACATCTATGGTCGGCAAAGACATTTGAAGGGAACTTTAGGCGAGCATCTGATGTGGCCATATACATTTATATACATTTATGTATATACATATATACGTTTATGTAAATCTAACACCTGCTCAGTTTTCATCCTGCTTTTTAGGAGTTTATTTCTTGAACCATGTCCTAAGAGTCACAGTTTTAACATTTGATTTCGGTCTATTTAAAATGAAACAATACAGAGGATTTTTTTGGAGGCTGTTTAAAGTTAATGTTTAGGAAGTGACATGAAATTACAGGGACACGTTATTCAACATAACACATCCTTTCTCTCCAGCTACATAAAAAGTGTTGAAGGATTTTCTTAAAACTAACAAAAAGAAAATAATTTCTTTACCACCCCTGTCCTTCAAAGCCAAAACCAATCTCACTCTTATACTATGAATCTACATCTACTATTTTTATGACAGCGTTCCAAAGCAAAACGCGGCGAATGGTGTTTTAATTATAGTCTCTAGGTAACGCTGTACGCATTTTCCCTTTAACTATTGTGGAAAGAAAGAAAAATATCTCAACAATTTCTTTTTATGTTCAAGGTTGTGATGCAACCAAGTGATTACTTCACTGTTAAGACTATTCTAAAATGTTCATGTCTTGAAATAACAGTATGTTAGTGGTAAGGACAATTATCTGTTGATGAAATTATTATTATTGTTTCTGAATTAAAAGGATTGTTTATACTTAACTTTCATTAAGAAAATCAGGATGATTTTAGGTGTAAAAATCTTATTCTACCGGGAGATCATTTAACAATGCAGGATTTTTCTTTCACTTCAGTAGATCATCTCCTAGTATGTTTATTTTATAATAGGTCAGGTCGACAGTTATGCATCTCCGTTCAATTTTAACAAGCAAAAGATACATTTTGAGATAGATTTTGCCTAAAAGTTTCATTTAATTCTATAGAACGTTTTCTTACCAGTACATTTTGAGACATGGGAGGTCCGTGATTGAATTTATATCCATCCTGCTGAGCTGACCTTGCTTCGACTCTGGAGGAAGGAGGCCGGGAAGGTTCTCCAAGGGATGGATGAGGGTGTGGTGGGTGGCTCAGTGCTGCAACTCTCTTTGCTTGTCTGCGTGCGGCCAGAAGGATGCGGCAATAGGTGAAGCAAATGGCGCTGGAGGGCAGAAAGAAGGTAAGCACGGATGCCACCAGGGCAAAGGGCAGGGTCACCTGCAGGCGGCACTGAAACGACGCACCTCCTGATGGTGAGAGCTGAAAGTAGGACTCTGGGTACAGTTTTTCATAGAAGGAACTGATGTTACCAAGACTGACTTGAGGAATTGGGGGGTCTTCATTCCCGTGGCCTAAACTGTGCCAGTTCATCTCAATGGGTAAAAAGGAGGCCAGTACTGCCAGACCCCAAGCAGCTCCAACCAGAAGCAGGGCCCGTGGTGGAGTCATCCTCTGCTTGTAGCGCAGCGGTGAAATAATGAAGATATAACGGTCCAGGCTGATCACGCACAGGTTTAGGATGGACGCGCTGCAGCACATGACATCAAAGCATAGCCAAACCGGGCAAAAAGCAGGCCACAACACCCAGGAGCCGCACAGCACGTTGAGCATGGCCGGAGGCATGACCACCAAGGCCACCATCAGGTCGGAGAAGAACAAAGACACCAGGAAGCAGTTGGAGGTGCAACGCAAAGAGCGATGGGCAAACACCAAAGCGATGAGCAGGATGTTGCCACAGATCGTCATGAGGATGATGGCAGTCAGCATGAAGGCCAGCAGCCATGGGCCGCTGCCTGTGATGTTCCAGTCGGTGGCAGCAGGAGTGCTGCCGTTGAAGCTGCCCACAGAGCTGGACATGTGAGAGTCGGTCATGGTGTTGGCTGGCAGTGATCAGGGAATCAGCTTCTCCTCTTGGAAAAAGCCCCGTCCTCAGAACAATACCATGGAGGTCTGCTTATCAAAATCCATCCAACTCTTCCTCTTCATGGATGAATATCTCCATGTTAGCAGGAATCCCTCTTAGTGGAGTGGGCTCCTGCTCCAGTGCCACCAATAGACTAATTCAAACCTTCCAAAGTGTTTGCCTCATCTCTCCATTCAGGCCAGCGTGTCCTTACTTCATCCACAGCTGAGAGCCAGAATGAGCTCTTCAGTAGCTGACAGAGGGTTTTTAAGCTGCATGCCACATCGATGACAGGCGCCGGGAGGAGGGCACAGAGAGAGATAAGCCTTTACTTCGAACATAAAAGCAGTTCCAGTGACATGACCCACTGAGGATGGAGAGAGATCCTCAAAAACATATCTCAGAGAAAAGACTCGGCCAGCTTTTGTACGTCTAGCTGAGCAGGAGTTCTTTCTCTCCAAACCACAAGTCCTTTTATTCTAGGAAACAAGAGAAGATGAGCAAAAGAACTACATAAAAAAAAAAAAAAGCTGTGCAACATTCATTACCAAGCCGGGCTCTGCTCAGAAGTGCTCTACAGGTATCATGGTCCTTATAACGCTCCGCATCCCTTGCTGCTGTTAATCCCTGAGGCGGCCACTTCAGCGTGTTTCCCAGCCGGAGCGGACGGCTACTGAGAGAGAGCGTGTCAAACATGGAGCTGTTAATGCATAACCATGCACAAACAGAGCCCAGATATGCTAATTCTGCATCATAGGAACTGTGTGGGTGGTCTTTCTCCCTGTTTGGTTGTGCGGTTTTTTTTTTTTTTTTCTCATTCTGATAAAACTATGCGCATTTTTATAAAGCTTTATTGAAATCTGATTGATTGTCTCAAAGTTGCTGCAATCTGTTTGTCTTTTGGATTTCATTTCTGTATGGAGACAATTTAAAGGTAACCAAACCGAATCAAATGCTCAATTTTTGTTGTTTTAGATATAATTTTCCATATTTTATGTTGATAAGGTTGTATTTAGGGGCTAACTTAAATGCTTTTATAATCCCATTTGAGCTGTGCTTATAAGTTCAGGGCCCTTGCTGCACTGAAAGAGGAATCTCTGTCCTGTTTTTTAGTTCATTGTCCCTAGTGATCAGAAAGCATCCCCACAGCATGACGCTGCCTCTACCGTGTTTAACTATGGAGGTGTGTTTAAAGCCATTAAAGATTTCTGAAAACAGGCCAAAAAGTTCCGAATTGGTCTCGTCTGAGCAGACATGTTGGATGTGACTCCTGAGAACTAAAGAATGAATAATGCAAGCTTATAAAAAAAATGACTTCCTTTAAACTTATTCCATAAAAAGCAGATGTGTTAAGAATGTTTTTTTTCTAAATCGTGGACCTCTACAGCTCCTCCAATGATCAAGGGTCATTTTTCTTTCTTCTCTATTTAAAGTATAACTATAGGTTAATATAGCTCTTGAGTCCAGTTGTGGGTCCATGTATTCAACAGGGCTTTATGAAATTTTAGGATATTGTTTTATACTCTAATGCTTCTAGCTTTCTCTTGTCTTCCCTGGTTTTCACTAATGAGTTTTAACAAAACAGCTGAGAATAAAGATAGAATTACAAAACTATGTTCTCAAAAAGTTTGTTTGCACATTTTTATATATAAACATCAGAGCCAGTCCAAAAGCCTGCCATACTCTTCCGATTTTAGTTTTAAAACATTTTAACACCCTGTAACACATCTTCACACTAGTTCTTGTTCATATCCAGCATTTTATTGTCATTACACTGTAAGAGCAAAGAAATTAACTCTCTGCATTTAACCAATCACCTTGGGAAGCAGTGGTCTGCCATTGTGCACCCAGGGAGGACCCATAGTGAAGGACCCTTAACCCAGGGGGGACTTACTCAGGGACTTGAACTCAGAACCTCAGGATTCCAAGTGCAACACCCTAACCACTGGGCCGCCACTCCTCAAACAGGCATTAGTATGAAGGGTCTTGGCCAAGGACCCACACTGGCAGCTCATTTCCCCCAGCTGGGATACAAACCCAGGTGTCCTGTTTGCAGGACAGGTGACTTACCAATTGAACTGGCCAACCGCATCAAAAACACCAACAAAATATTTAGTTTGTAAATGCGAGCACATGTCATTATCTATCTGAAACAAACACTGATAGTTTAACAACGTTGTTCTATTTTAGCATCTTTGGCTAAGAGCTACTGCTACTAGCTATGTGTTACAGTTGCCCCCTCCTTTTTTTTTTTTTTTACTCAATGCTTACTGTATAACTTCTATGTAGTTTATTTTGCCTTTTTGTTTCTCTTTTCTCTTTCCTCTTAATTCTGAGCTATCTCTATAGTTATGCTGCTATAGGCTTAGACTGCTGGAGGACATAGGGACCCCTATTTCATCATTCTGCTTCATTCTATCTCTATTTTCCTACTCTGCAGAATCTGTTAGTTCAATCTCTAATGTCATGATTTCTCTGCTTTTTCTCACAGTAGCTTTGCCTCGTCTGTTAGTGTTTGGCTGTGACACCATCCTGGAGAGAAATATTAGCTGTGCTGCTTCCATCAACATCTTTGATTATAGATGTTGGAGATTGGCCTGTTTTTCCAGTGCAGTCCCGTTTCTCTGGCTGTGACTGGCTGGATGTTCTCTCTTCATCCTCTGACATGGGAGCTGGCTCAGAGCTCATCTGCCTGGCTGTGTGTTTCCTGGACGGGGTCGCCTTTTGCAGCTGCTTTTTGTATCTCTGCTTCTGTCTCCTTGAACTCCAGTCGGCCTCAGCAGATGGCCGCTCACTTTGAGCCTGGTTCTGCTGGAGGTTTCTTCTTGTTAAAAGGGAGTTTTTCCTCTCCACTGTTGCTACAAGCATGTTTAGTGTGAGAGATTGCACTCGAGTCAATGAGTCCATGCAATCAAATGGTTTTCCTTTGTTAGAAAACATTGTATCAATTTGACTGTATGATCTGGTAAACTGTAAAGTGTCTTGCGATGACGTGTTGTGAACTGGCGCTATATAAATAAACTGAATTCTTATCCCCTCTCCCTTTCTGTCTCTGTTGTATAAGATTTTAATTCTTAAATCATTTTCAATAAACTCTCCTATAGGCTATATGAACCAAGCAGGTCTGCTTGTGAAAGAGAATCTATTGGACTATCATCTAACTCTGGGACATCAATTACCAGAACTACAGTATAATGGAAAAAGAGGACAAGAAAAAAACAATGTTTTTAATTTCTCATTTTATTTACCGGTATTGCAGCTGTTAATAACAGTTTAAGTCCAAAAAAAAAAATCTAAATTAAATCAAATGGAAGGTCTTTTTTCTGCATTCATAAAACTTATGCAATATCTGCATTCAAATTCAGTTTCTGCCCAAAGAATTTCAAATGTTAAACTATTTATATTTCCTGAAAGTATTTGTGATTCAAATATTGTTTTTTTAACTGAATTTCAGAAAAAGGTTTGCAAAAAAGTACAGCTGCTCTNTGAATTTCAGAAAAAGGTTTGCAAAAAAGTACAGCTGCTCTTAATATTCCATATGTAACATGATCATATGAAATATAGATGTTTACATTTTTAATTTCATAAAACACTTTTTAAGTTCATTTGTAGCTTTATTTATACATTTTAGTCAACATTTTTTTTTATTTCTGCTTATCTTTGAGTTGGTGACCTTTTTTGTATAGCTGAATGACTTTGATGACTCCTCAGCATCTTCACATGGCATCAGTGCAGCTCAGCCTCACAGTCAGGCTTTGGGTCCAGATCATCCAGCCTTTTTCTCCATATGTGCCTTGGCTCTGGAGGCTCCTCCCACGGCGCATCACAGGCCTGTGATTTTGTGAACCTTTTTATAGAAACAGCCTGTGACTTCTGTTAAACAAGGGGGCGATGCGATCTCAGCGCATTTATTCACATAAACTCAAGATGATGGACTACTTTCTTTCTCATCAGTGTTTAAGACATAAATCCCCAAAATTGTAAATAATCACTGAAAAATATTTGATAAACACCAAGAAATCTGAGAAATGGAATGAATACATTTTTTTTTATATATTTGTAATGTTCCTATAAGTCAAGTAAACATGCCTGATGGAGCCACTGGCCTGAACTAAATTTTTCTTAACACTGAAATCAGGTATTTTTTGTAAAGTTCAGGAAACTTCCTTTCAGACTTCGGTGTTCATGAACAAGGTGCTTCAATTTGACTAGTAGTTTATATATATATATATATATATTTCTTTGAATAAAAATTCTAAAATCAATATCTTATTTTACTTTATATCTAGTACATTTTAATTTATCATTACCTTTTCAGTTTTGTGGTATATGAACTACCAGTGGGAATGTATCATTTTCTTTAATAGGAAGGTTTGCAAACTTTCAAGCACAACTGCATATATAGCACTTTACAGATAAACACCAATAAGGGCCTCACATGAATAATTCAATGATAAATAGCTAACTGGGTCAAATTACATCTGAGTAAGCTGGTCTTTAATGGGTTTTTTATATTTTTAAGAGTTAGTAGGAGCTCTGGTGCAAGGAAACAGTGAAAGTGATTTCCAGGGCCTCTGAGCCTGATCTTCATAGATACAGTCATATGAAAAAGTTTGGGAACCCCTATTAATCTTAATCATTTATTTTTAAATATTTGGGTGTTTGAAACAGTTATTTGCACATTTGGCCACCTTAAATACATTTTCTCATGACTGGATACTCCTGGCTATGAAGTTCAAATATTTATTACGTTACCAAACCGATTTTGTGCTTCAGTAAGTCAGTGAAAAGCAGTTAAGGGTATTCAAATCAATAAACAACATTTTCGCACCCATCAAGTTTTCTTTTAATGCATACAGCACATTTTCTGTTAGTCCAATAAACCTCAATTCAATACTGAAATATTACTTTGTCCATCAGTTATTAGATATGTCTAACTGAAATAGCTGTTGCAAACATCCAAATATTTAGAAATAAAATCATTAAGATTAATAGGGGTGCCCAAACTTTTTCATATGACTGTATTTGTTTTTTTTTAATAAGTCTAGGGAACCACCAGCAGCATCTGGTTATAGAAGACATTTGCTCCTATTTTCTCAGTTTTAATCTGATGATCCTAAACAGAAACCAAACTAAGTTGATGTAGAAACAATAGTTTTTCATTTCCTGACAAATGGTAAACCATTTTTATTTTTTGTTGCAGCTCAATGCAGATAAATCCTAAATGTTAAAGTGACTAATCTTTGCTATCGTGTCACCTTCCCCATTAGATGAGCTGCTGCAGATTCTCTGCACTCTGGTCCAACCACTTCCCTCTACACCAACTCAGAGGATCAACTACAAACATTTGAATAGAGACTCAGAATAATAACCTTCTGGCTGTTATGATCCAATAAGGGAACCTTTATTAGGAATTTATTAGGAAGTCCCATTTTGAGTTAAAATTCAGCTGTTCGAATCTAATAGTGTCAATGAATAGATATCAAAGCACATTCATCCATCATATATTTATTTCATCATCAATTATTTTATTAAATACACACAGATTGCTCTGATCAGGCAGAAAAAAAAACTCATACAATCATTTTTAGGACGGTAACTCCATGGGAAGACACAGATCCAACTGTAGCATAATGCAAACTGTGACACTCCAACAGCAAAAACCAAATCATTGCAAAAATGATATTAAAAAAAAACAAAACTGCTTGATGGGTCGAAGTTACAGCTCCTGCTGGAAAAAAAGAGAAAAACAAAGATTTAGTCATTTGTAGAAAATACAGACAGAAAATTCATTTTTGAGAACTTTTGATTTTTGGTGATGCAGAACTGATTTAACCAAAATCTTTGAATAAAAGCCAAAACTAAAAAAAATAAAATAAAATCAGGTGTTTGCCAACTTCAAACAAAGAGGTTAAGAAAAATTTGAAAAATGTACCCCCAAAACACCCGGATCTGTTTTGGCAAACGATACACAAAATCAGGTCTGTAGTGATAAGAACACATTGGAGTGAGCCGAGTCAGGCAGACTGCTCACCACTGCACTACCAAGAGGAACCAGGTGTCTATTTTCATCAAGTGACACCCTTTGTGTTAAAGTGAAACACATGCACTTTGAGGAAAAGTGCAAAATAACTAAACCCCCTAGGGGTCGCGGAAACCCTGTTGAAGACCTCTGTCATAGGTAGTAAAATAAAATACGGCTGGGATCTGTTTTGCTTTGTGAGGAGCCAGCTGAAAAATTAAACAAGCTTTTATCAACCAAAAAAATTAATTTTTCTTATACGTTTGAGTTCAGACTGGATGTAGAGAACAGCCTGGGATCAGCTGCTTTTCACACTGAGCTGCCGGAGCTCATAAAAGCAGCTCAGATGTCTTGATGAAAACAAATTAAAACTAATTAACTTGATCTATGATTTTTTTTTTACTCTTTATTTTGTTCCCAATTCATCAAGTGTAAATAAGAGAGTTACTCAAAGGAGCTCCGGTTTTATAAATACCGGCTTGTAATAGGATTTTATTTTGTATTTATTCTGATTTCTTACTAACTGCTAGGCAACGTATTTATGTTATTCTTTTATTTGAGATGTAAAGAACAAAATACCTAATAATTAAATGCTCAGGTAAAAAGATTAAGTAAAACAGTTTTAATTTTATAATCAGTTATTGTAAGTCCACTTTTGGACAATCAGCAATCCTTTTGACTGATGGTAAGACAAAATTCCCAAAGGGGTATATAAGTTAAAAAAAAAGGTTGGGAAACGCTGCCTTATGGCCTTGGCCTCATACTCTTTGGTCTTGGATGGTGTGGTCTTGACAGAAACACTATTGGAGCAGCATGTTGTTTTGCATTTACTCACACTGGGTTCTGTTTATTATCTGTCTGTTTTCATCATTCTATCTCTATTCTCCCACTCTCTCTGCTTTTTCTGATAGTAGCTTTGCCTCATCTGTTCCTGTTTGGCTGTGACTCCATCCTGGAGAGAAATATCATCTGTGCTGTTGACATCAACACCTTTGTTTATAGATGTTGCAGATCGGCCTGTTTTTCCAGTGCAGTCCTGTTTCTCTGACTGTGACTGGCTGGATGTGCTCTCTTCATCCTCTGACATGGGAGTTGGCTCGGAGCTCGTCTGCCTGGCTGTGTGTTTCCTGGACGGGGCCGCCTTTTACAGCTGCTTTTTGTATCTCTGCTTCTGTCTCCTTGAACCCCAGTCATCCTCGGCAGATGGCCGCTCACACTGAGCCTGTTTCTACCAGAGGTTACTTCCTGTTAAGAGGGAGTTTTTCCTCTCCACTGTTGATACAAGCATGCTTAGTGTGAGGGATTGCCTTTGAGTCAATTAGTCGATGTAATCAACGGGTTTTCCTTAGAAAACTTTGAATCAATTTGATTGTTTGAGCAGGTGAACTGTAAAGTGCGTTGAGACGACATGTATTGTGAATTGGCACTATAGAAATAAATTGAATTGAATTGAATTGCATGATCTGTGGATAATGATTGTTACTCCTAACGGACCTTCTAGTCAGAGCTAATAGATTGATGCACACAAGCAGTGATCCAAGCAGGGTGTTTTGGGGTAAGGCTGGCATAAAAGATGAGGATCAGTGTGCATGAAGCAACCTGTTAAAACCAAATGACACCAAATCAAACCTTTTGGCTTCTGTGCGGCAGATAATGTGACCTCAGGTCATTCTGACAGTTGGCATACGCCATCCCAAGTCCAGCTCCTGAGAATAACGTAATAGGCCATGTACGTCCTGCAAAGAGAGATACTCTGTTACTTTTTTCCAACAATAACAAGCACATCTCAAAAATACAAGTGCAGTTAAGACATTCATATAAGAATACTGTAAATGGAGGAGAAAAGACTCCCTAACGGCACTCAAGACTAGTGTGTTAATGTGCAGCAGAGGAATGCAATCCTAGCTGTGTGGTCACATCCTCAACGAGCTACATGTAAGTTTTAAATTAAAATACAGCTACAAATAAACAGAAAATGCTTACTTTTGAAGAACAGAACAGAAAACACAATTCCTAGCCCGAGACCAGTACCTGAAACACAGAACAACACAAAAAAACATTAGATATAAGCACTAAAAAACTGCAAAGATACATTTCTAACATTTTTGTCTAATCTACCCTCTGTACAAATAGAGTGCCATTTGTTTTCTTTGTAATATCATGTAATAGTGATAAATTTGATAGGAAAAAAAAGTTATTTTAGCTAAAAGAAAGCAAATTCCCAAGCAGGTGAAACTTTCTTTTAAAGATGCAACCTTCAGTATCAGCAAGTATGGAAAATCCTGTACTTATGGAATAACCACCAACAGCAGTTTTCACTCTATGCTTTGGAATACGAATGCTCAAGTTTTATTTGTTTATTATCCATTTTATTTGCCAAATGGTATCGAAAACATTGGCTGAGTATAGAAGGATACTCAACAAGTGGATAAAACAAAACCGACAAATTTAATTTACAACCAATATAGTGCTTTTAGTCAGTTAAAATGTCATGTTTTTGCTGCTTCTTCATTCCATTCCTGGGTTTTTACTCCATTTGTAGCTTGACTTTTCTTTGGTATCAACCGTGAGTCAACTGACGCCCACCAGGGGGGATGTTTTTATACCCAATTGAATAACAAAGGATTAAATAAAAATTCTGTTGCACTGTTGCATAAAATCTGGTTTTATGATTCCTACAAATGATTTCCATCAGCAAAAGATCCCCTGGAGCTTTTTCTGATTATTACATCTTGTCCTATCTGTGCATACAATTTTATTATATCTTTACTTCTATAATTCAGAGTGTATATATTATTGCAGGAGTTCAAACAAAGCATAAAATTGTAGGAACATTTGGGCCAATAGGGTGATCAGGTGTTCCTATGTGGATCTAATTCAGCACCGGGAACAAAAACAGAGTGTGGCAGCAGTGATATTCTCAGGTGGACTGTCCTTACTAATATGATATTTTATTTGTTGCTGTAATAACCCTATAATGACTAAAGAAATACAGTAATAAAATATCTAAATCAATATACTAACATTTAATATGACTTGTGCTCTTTTCAGAGGTAGTTTTTGTGTTCTGTGAGGTCAAAGGTTAAGTGTTTCTGCAATTCATCTTAGACTTTTTTTTTTTTTCAAACAGATAAAGAACTGCTCAACCCATTTAATTTTTATATTATGTTGGACCGTAAATGATAAACTCAGAGGTGATTCTCCAACTATCAAAGAATTTGTGTCCCTGGCAGAAATAGCAAAAACAAAAACAGGTTTGTCATTGTTTGATCATGCTGCAAATACAAGGCACAAAAATGGACATAAAAAAACATTTATGATAGATTGATAAATTACTATTTATATTCTATAAAATATGCTTTCATATTGAGTGTTTGTCCTGTATCCCTTGGCCAGGTCCCTTAAGACTGAAATGAAATATAATTCAACAGTAACTTCATTTAAAATGCTGCAGAACTTCCTTATTTTCATATAAAAAGGTCTACTTGAAAGATATATTAGTATTCTATTTATTTTTCATAGGAATATTATGACCGAATTAGACTGTAGATGGAGAATCACCCTTAAACACCTTAAATGTACATTGGTGTGTAGATTTTTATAGAACAGGAATCAGGAAAATCTGGTCTGTCATCAGCCATTTATTTGAAAATACAGTGGTTATGCTTATTTACTGTGAGTTATGTGAGTGGAGTGATTTCATTATAAAATAAATCAACATTAGATAAAATACTGTTTCTCTATATGCTGTTTGTGGTCAGGGGACCCGGTAGAAAGAATAGATATAGAAATATATGTATGATGCTTCTAACATTGCAATCAACATAGTGTAATGTGTATTAATGTATTAGTGTTGCACCGATATGAGTATCATGCAGGGCCCTGATCCAGCACTAAAATTGTTGTATCGGTATCGCCGAGTTCCAACAAATAGCGCACTGATACCATTTTGTCACCTATTCCTGGTAGGCAATAAAAAGTTCTACTGGATTCACTTTGTATTAGTCTTTTTCCTGCTTCATAAAGGTAGGCAGCAGCTTGACAAAGCCATGATGGTCATTATTTTACATCCAAGTAGTATGCAGTTCTTCTTATACACACATCAATTTCAGACAGATGGTATCGGGGCCAAAAAGTTGCGCATATATATATATATATATATATATATATATATATATATATATACACATGTTAAAGGATCTTGACACTCAACAGTATCTCATTTGTCAAAGCAAGCCGATTTTAGGCTGCAATTATTAAAAACCACTAATCTATAGTATGTCTAACCTATAGCTAATATAGGCTTATTCATCCTGCCACCAAAGAAGCAACAATAATATTATAGAGTGATTAGAAACATGCCAGCACGCCATTATATAACTTTATATATAAACATCATTCGTGCTTAGCTGGGCAATATATTCCTGTAAAACCAGAACCATGTGTTGTCTGCAACTTACACCAATAACAATATTAAATATTTCTACTTTTCCAGTAGTTATAGTTTTAACCATATAAGTCAGATTGACAGACACAGGGCAGTAATGAGCCCCGGTTTGTTTACATTAACCTCTAAATGCTCATTAGTTGTCCTTTACTAGCCCTGTGCGGCTAGCTAGTTAGCTTCAGTCAATGACAGCATTAAACTACAATCCAAACTAACGCCTAATGCTTCATTATCATCTTTCATGGCAGAAACCCTGCTGGCTGAAAGCTGAGGAATATTTACCCAGTTTAGTCACACCGTCTGCCAGGCAGCGGTCCCACTTTTTACCGAGTTCCTTCTCAGACATTCTGACTTTAGCTCCTGGCTAAAGGTTTCAGCTGCAGCTCTGGCTGCTGCCTTTGAGGACCGCTCGGAAATGTACAAGACTAATATGATGTGTTGGGAAATTAAGGTAAAAATACGACACATGGAAAAATCAGTGAATAGAACATTCCCATTGAATTATAGAGCTTTTTATATTACTGTATAAAGATTTAACTCATAAAATGCAGTTTGTTTAAAAAAAAAAAAACACTTTCAAAGATGGCTATTTATTTATCCGTTTCACGTGAATGCACCATGCAGCTACTTTTGCAAAAATGCTGCCACCTGCCGGTGAAAATAAAACATTTCCCAAAAGTATCTAGGCCTACATATACTACTACTAAATACTTTCTAAAAGTATCTAGGCCTAATAATAATTGAACTTTATTGAGCTCACATTACTTTGAGACACGACAACAGACTGGCTCCATCCATATCAAGATATTACACAGTAGGACATTCTGAATGCAGGGTGAAAGAGAGCTCGCTGTTAAGAGTAATCCACTGTTTGTTTTTATTTAGTTATTCAACAATCCATCCACCCAATAAAATAAGTTGAACTACAGACCCCAAAGCAAAAAAAAAAAAAAAAGAAACTACAGACCCCGCTAATTCGGGGTCTGTAGTTTCACAGTGCTGAAAAGAGATCTTGCTTTACTGGTAGATTAGATATATTCTGCAGCGCTCATTGTCATTGTTTGCTTTTATAATTAACTCCATGTTAATGTTTATTTCTTTAAAGTCAGAAATCAGAGAGTAAAATACACAATAAGTGTCTCAAACAGGTGAAACCGGTGTGTAATTCTAAAATCCGAGTTTTTTTCTTCAATACTTTACTCCTCCACAAGATCACGCCCACAAAAGAGCTGGTCCACAGATGTGTTATCTGTGTGGAAATTTGGTGCTTGTAATGCTTTCAAATGCAGGAATATAATTATGTTATGCTATGTTTGATTTGATGTTTTCTACTAAAATTACTTAAAAGGTTCCTAATCTTTAAACTGGTTTCAGAAATAAATAAGATAACATTGTTGGTCTAAAATACCACGTACCATAAACATCATTTTCTCCCTGTAAAATATTGTAATTCCATTGTCTTTCAGAAAACCCATTCTTTCCAATCTGTGTAAAACCAAAGGTTCATGGAAGAGATTAAACTTTTTTTTGCCACTTAAAGAATTATTTTCTGATTATGTAAAACATACCCAAGAAAAACATAAAGTATATGATGTAGTTAAAATATCTTTTCCAGTTTACCATAGAGCCAAAAAAACTATAGTTTTAAAATATTAAAACAAATATTTGCAGAATTGTTATCATAAAAATATACAAATTAGTCTACAGAGTGAGTTTTCCGTTTATTTATGTCAACATAAAATACCTAAGAATCAAGATTATTTTGTTTTCTTTTGCAAAGAAATATCCACCCACTAACAGCTGGGGAGATAGTGCTCCCCTTTTCTCCAAATTACATTTGTTGAATATTTATGAAGTTAATATTTATCAAACATGTACCTCTGTTTTTATGATAAAACAAGGTCAGTCTCCTGATAGTTTCAAGAATTATTTTGTTAAGAACTGCCAAGTCCATTCTTATACTAGACAAGCTTTGTCTTTTCATTTCCCATTAAGTATTAAAACTCAAGAACAATTTTCTTTTTGGTATCTTGGAGCAAAACTATAGAATTAATATAGACTATATTTCGAATCTTTAGAGATAAATGGTAGAAAGAAAGAAAAAAAAATACTGTTATCCAAAAAAAGACAATAATGTATGATTTTACAAATAATGGCTGCCTGAAATCTGAAATTTAAAATGTAAAAAAAAGAAAAAAAAAATTACATATAGAGTGAAATGTCTTTCATAATGTGAGTTTCCTGATGTTTTGTTGTTCTAGGGGTGTGACCTTCGGCATAAGCCCTATGAGATTTCTGTCACACTCAATCACATTTCTTATTTTATTGATGTATTCTGGGTTTCTATTTTGATTTGTGAAAAAAAAGATAAATAAAACCAATATATAATATAAATGTGAGAGCTGGGGAGATACATGAAGCGGAACATCTGTCGATAACTGTAATGTTTAACAGCTCATGGACATTAATGGACATTAGAAACAGACTCAATGAGAAAATAACATTTATTTGTGTCTTTTTAAATATTTTGAATTATTAGAAGCCTTCTCTGTGAAGTAAAGTTTCTTCAAATCATTTTTAATTCAGTTACATTTTTATTCAAAAATACAGCTGATTGGGAGCAGGAGGGAAGAAGAATCCTCTGACTAATGACACTAACGGTGTCAAATCTAATCACAGAGCTCTATTTTCTTGTTCTACCATTGCATACGGTGTTATTAGAATTAAAGTTTATGAAAATGATCCAACAAAATGTATAGATTGAATTTTATTTGACACACGCCCTACATGGTCATAAGGTCATACTGTAGCATGTCTAAAACTAAGTTCCTGAGATGACAACAGTTTCAACAACAAACATTTCAAGAGTTGGCATGTTTTTTTGTTTTTTCTTTGCACAAAGACTGAGCTGGTACAATTAAACTGCTTCTAAATCTGAAAATTAGAATAGATCCCTACCACAAAAATCCCTCAGCAAACAAATTAAAAGTATAAAGCAATTATGACATAAGAAGCAGGTGAATCTTTGTGAAACGGCCAAGAGTCTTTTGTTTTTTGGCAGCGAGCACAGAGTCTTACCCTGTGTGTGTGGAGAGGGGTGGGGTACCAGCAGGCTTTCCCACTAGCAGTTGTTTCTGCAGGCTTTTCACTCCTAAGTGAATGAGACTGGGACTATAGTAAAAGTAAACAGGAGGTAGAAACTGTATCTCTTAAAAGTAACTGACATAACAAGTCCTTTTTCCGATGGGTATCTTAGTGACCAGCTACACATCTTATATCAACAGCACGGATTATGGATTCACTTGCAGGACAGCAGTGATGACACAGTTACTCTACAAAGAGCTTCCCTAACCCTGGAGTGCACACACTGGTAGATGTAATGAAAGCTAAAATGCTGTGTTCAAGTGACCTTCGCTAGAAAATTCACAACCCTGTAGTCTGCTTTCTCAGTCCTGGTGCTCTGATCAGTCGTCGGACGATGCCTGTGGGGAATGCTCCCATTCCGCTGCTGGTGGGGATTTCTGCTTGGCGTCGTCTCTCTCTATCTTCACCGACCCCTTGCTGATGGATAAAAGGTCCCGAAGCTCCTTGTTTTCTATCTGAAAGAGGCGGAAAACCCAAATGTTAAATCAGTAATACATCACCAAGAACAACTCGTATGAGAGAGATGGATTTAGATTTTGTTGTGGGTTTTAAAACCAACAAAAATAGCAGGACTGAGATCAAATCTTCCCAGTTACGCCAAATCAGAATTACTATGACATAAAAAAAAGCTACAATATGTCATTTCCAGCGACATCTAATGGTCAAACTGCAGAATGCAGCAATATGAACCACCCCCTTGTCACCTCTCCCCCTCCAACGATATGGAGGCCATCATCAGGCTTCCCCAATCCCCGTATCACCTTTCTTGTCAAGTGACGACAAAGTTTGCTTACACAGATCATTTTATAAATAGTTTTTATATCAATCTGTGTAGAATAGGTTTTATATAGGCCTAACTTGTAATTCTACCAGTGACTGTAGCGATCTCTGCAGTCACTAGTTTCTCAGCTCTGTTCCGGTAAAGAGGAAAGATGTCTGCCTCCATCAATGCAAGATAACATACAGTCAGTTAATTCTTGTAACTATTACACAATTATTACACTTTTTTTATATTTCAACTGTATAAACTGGAGCTCTGGGAAATGTTTTAATGATACTTTCATAGTTCTGAAGTTTTTATCTTAAATCCGTGTCCATTGAGGACATAGGGACCATATTTCATCATTCTATCTCTATTCTCCCACTTCAGTCATTTTCAGTGATTAGTCCTGTTTCTCTCTTAGAAATAGCTATAGGCTCTGCCTTTACTGTGACCAACTATTACCCCATTTACACTACCCTTGAAAAACCGATCCATGCCGAGACCGGTCCGAGCTCGGATCAGTTAACCAGGCCGAGCTCGGTTCTGACGACCGTTTGCACATCACGGTATCTCGGTTCATTGACTCCTCGCCTCCTAGTGACGATCTGCGGTATTACTGCCAGTATTGAAGGAGGAAATCAAGCAGTTGGTGGCGGTAATGCACCAAAAGTTGTTTGCCAACCGCCATAAAACACAAGAAGAAGACGAAGAAGGAGGAAATCAAGCAGTTGGTGGCGGTAATGCACCAAAAGTTGTTTGCCAATCGCCATAAAACACAAGAAGAGAAGATTTCGATTGTTATTTATAGTAGTTCTTCTTCTTCTGTTTTGTGTTGGTTGGCAAGCAACTTCTGGAGGGGCATTACCAGCAACTACTGGAATGGAGTCTGAATCGGGATGTGCAGCCAGACGGAGACGTTCTGCTCATGCGCTCTTATTATCAGAGAACCGAGCCAGGGAAAAACCGAGCCGAGCCCACCTCTGGAACTGGTCTGCAGTTATCTCGGTTCGGTTGTGTCTAGCTCGTTTCAGTTCAGTTTGCTTTCCATTTACACACGATAAGTTATCTCAGTTACTGAGCTTGGACCGGTATCGGCCCAGTTTTTCAAGGGTAGTGTAAATGGGGTATAAATGTGCTCTTTTATCCATTTTCACATGAAAACCAGCCCAGAGCTCGTCTGATTGACCGTCTCTTTCCCCGACAGAGTCACCTGCATAAATAGCTTACTGTTACCTTTTCTAGCATAGCTATACCCCATTCACACTACCCTTGAAAAACCGTGCCGAGACCGCTCCGAGCTCAGTAACTGAGATAACTTATAGTGTGTAAATGGAAAGCAAACTGAACTGAACCGAGCAGCAGGGCCTCTATGCTTCTTTTGCATGTCTGCTTCTGTCTCCCTGACCCCCCCTGTCTCAGCAGAAGGCCGCTCACACTGAGCCTGGTTCTGCTGGTGGTTTCTTCCTGTATTCCCGTCTCTATTAGAGCCCAATTGATTAATAGGTGGCACAATTTATTAGGCCTTATTTAGCGTCTGGCTCAGTAATTGACTTCTGCCAAAATGCGGCCGATATAAAAATTGTGTTTTTGCTGCAAAAAGTAAAAACAAATTTCTTCTGCTGTTTGGGCTGCAGTAACCTGGACCGAGCAAGGTTACTGATGGATTAATCTACCAATAAAACCAGCCCTGGTTGGAAGGAGGGTTTTTTTTTAAAAACAAACTCTGAATCAACATTGGAGTTTCTGAAGCTTTTTTGACTGAATGAAAAATGCCCTCTTTTTTTCTAGCTTCTACCAAGTTAACTTTAAATTCATAAAACCGGGATAATCTGAGATTTTTTTTTACAAACAATAAAAATGTCTCTCACCTCTAGCTGAGCAAGCCTCTCTCGAACAGAGCAGTAGTGCCGATCGTCTGCCTGCACGGCTCTTCTCATCACCTGACCCATCTCACATATCCGCTCCACCTGGCCCTGCACTTCCTGGAGCAAAAGAAGCCATTTTTAATCCTAGCTGTGTAAAAATAATCTTCTTGAGCAACCAAAGAACACCACCCTACTCTGGCATGGTCCTGATGAAGGCTGAGCACAGGTTTGGTGTCCAGCTCCTTTTTTGCCATCATCAGCTGCAGCATCTGCTTGCGATACCGACCCATGATTAGTTCTAAGGCGTATTGGTGTTCTTCAAGAGACAGCCACAGTTCTGCAGAGATCGTACAGAGCATTAGAATATTAAAAAACATCCGCTAAAATAAAGCATCAGAAGGAAGTAATACCTTTATTTTCCTGCTGCAACTCTTTAATTTGAGTGTTTTCTTGAGTCAGGAGGACATGAGGCTTGTATTTGGTCAGATCTTGAATCTCTGAGCTGTCTTCTGTGTGCTGAAAGAAGGAAAGACAAGCAACTAAGAACAGAAGTTGTTGGAAAAGAGCCCTGTTGCAACTTTTTCCAAAAGATAAAAAAAAAAAAAAAAAAAAATCCACTGGACTTTTGTTAATTATTA